AAGAGCCACATATCTTTAATAATTAATTTTCACTAATTAACTAATTAATACAGGAGTATTTAATTCTAATTACTGGGTTCACGTAAAAATTCAGCTCTCATAGAATCATTCGAAGTTTTTTGTAATGCACGAAGTTGTTGCAAATTAGTATTTCTTGCAGTTTTAAAATATGAGAAACTTCTTTTGCGATTATCTCCAAAACACTTTTCTTCAAAATTATCATAATAGTCTGTGGCTGTTCGTAAAAATTAAACGATTATGAATGCCACGCTTGAAACCTGGCAACTTGGTGACAAAAGCTCGCTCGTTACAAGGACGGCGGGTAGTCGAGTCGGCTGTTGATGGGTAATTGGAGTGTAGGCGATGCTTTGTTGGCGGGAATTCGCGGGAAGCTGCGGCGCACTGGAATTGATGGTTAGCCAGTCAGTTAGGCCAAAAAAAAAAATATTCGGTCTCTCGTCAGACCAAAGTTCCGGAATTGACGCGGGGACGCGGCTTTTTTTTTTTTTTTTCTTTTTTCTTCAAGCTTCGATTGTACAGACAAGGTGGGGTACTATTTCGCTTTTTTTGGTGTCCTCATGTACATTGGATTCCTCCATAACTTGCCTTGGTGCTCTTGATCATTTGCCTTGGTGCAATTTCCCATATCTTGGTTTTCTTTGGGAAAAAAAAATTGAGGAGGTGCAGCAATAGAGGGCGCTGTTGGAGCTACCGCGGAACATTTTAGGAAAAAACAGATTGACGCGCATGATTAAAATCGACGCGCGCGCTGACCAGAGACCGACTTATTTTTTTTTTGGCCTTAGACTGCGTATTATAATCAATACATTTATTGGCTGTTTCGGCACTTTTGCCGAAACAGCCTTTGTTTTCGTTAAAGTTATTTATTTATTTTTTTCCTTTTTTGTTCTTCTTTTTCAGCCATTCCTCATTGCATTTGTACACGTGTTTACAGTGGAAGGCACTTCGGGCAATACAATCAATCCGATTGACTTTATACTTGGCACACACTTAGACCAGCACCTGAAGTTGTGTGCCGAACATTGACGTCATCGTGACGTCATCACGAGTCACGTGAAGTCACATAATATGCGATTTTTCTATTGTGACCGTTTTCTAGCAGAATTCAGCTAGATCTGACAGATTGGGCTATATCTCCAGAACTATAGTTTCGATTGGGTTGAAAGTTGGTATGTACCTAGACCGAGATGTCTTATAGATGAAAATTAACTTGATGTCATGATAACGTCATCACGTGACATATGACGTCATATAAAATAAACATATTTTGATGGCCTATATCTCCTGAACTACAGGTCCGCTTGGGTTGAAAGTTGGTATGTACCTAGACAGGGATGTGTTATAGATGAAAATTAAAGTGACGTCACGATTACGTCATCATGAGTCACGTGACATCATGTTAAAGATTAATAGGTCTTTGAAAATCAATATAAATTCAACCGTGAGAAACCTGAGCTTGACGTTTGCAGGAATCGATAGAATAATCCAGGGTCTTAATTTTTATATATTATGTGCAAAATCACGTGACCCTTTCTTCCGGTTGAAACTGGAAGTGCCTTGTAATTTAAAATTGATGAAAGATGTGAACTTACTTTCAACGATGTATGCTATGGCTAAGTTGTTATTTACAAGGAAAATGTAATCACATATTGTATGCCACCAGCTATTATCAACAGAACTACACATTCTTCCAGGATGGTACTTGTACTTCAAACTTTACATGTCACATGTCACAAAAAACACCGAAACAGCCATATGTTTGTCCACAAACATAAGTTAGTTGAATAGGCTATTATGGCCGTGCGCGAGCAGGATTGATAGGCCTACATGTGCGTAGGGATATCGTATGCAGTTGGTCGAATTCCAGTCGTCCACGCGCTTGTGCACACAATTGTGTATTTGCCTGCAATCGGGGACCCCCTATTCATGCCGCATAGGCTATGTGTGTGTCAGCTTTGATCTTAGGCATGCATGCCAACTCGTTACTTGATGTAATAAATAGTATTCACTCAGTCTAGGCATAGGTCGCAAGTTAGTCTGGTTCCCAGACCTGACAATATTCCCGACGTTCACGTCTAAATTGTAGGTCAGGCAGTCGCCGTGGTTAAAAGTAAACATGACGAAATTGACGGCCCTTTCTCAAAGCTCGGCTTCGTTTCCGAATTCGCTTTACTATAAGTGCACTTATAGAGTTTAATGTTCCGATCAAAGTTTTAAATAAATTACTTGCTGCATAATATCATACAGTTAGATAATACAGTTTGATATATCTAAGAAAACATTGACTAATGTTGACCTGGAATCTTCAAAGTTAGGCACCAAAATAGCACTGTTAGCAGGCGGAACCGATCGGAGACCACGCCGAGTTTCGGAAAATCCCGGTAACGGTCGTCCCTCGTATACGATCCGAGTGTACTTGATGCACAAAATCGTCGTTGAATTTCAAGATTTCTAAATGAAAGCAATGAATTGTAATTATCAACCAATTTTATTTTAAAGTTTTTAATAAGCAATTCGCAGTTATTCAAACCTATATTGTACTCGGAAATACTCGGGCGCTGTCCGACTGTCGACGAAATAAACTCCGGCAAACTTCGGACATTTTCGGAAAAAGGAGAAATTCCTCCCGTTTTAGTCACGTGACGTATATTTGTATATAAATACACTGTATTACTGACGGCTACCTGATTGCATTAGATTCATTAGGAATAGTCAGAATCTTTTTGGTCTGGGAACCAGAGTAATCGCATGTCACATTCGAACGTTGACTCCCCCATACGCATGTAGGGGTGCAATAAAATCAACCTCATAGGCACTAATGATAAACAAAACTCGCTCTCCAAAACATCGAGGAAAATGCTCATAACTCCAAGGTGGTAAAGACACTTAGGCCTACATCAAATTAAAGGTACAGTCATTTGTAAGTTGTGCATTTTGTTCGTTTGAAGTAACAAAAGTGCTCAATATCTGAAGAAGGATGCTGAACAACCAATCTGATGAAGTTTCAGCTTAGCTTCAGCTGCAATTTCGAGAGAAACAACATTCTAGGGTCTCGATTTCAAAACAAATGTTGTTGAATCATGTTTTGAATTGGGCATGAATCCAGCGTCCGAGACACGTTCTCACTAGCAAATAAGAAGCACCGTTGGAAAGGCCTTCTTTCGTTGATTTCTTCAAAATCACAGCTTGCCAGAAAGAATAATTTCACAGGGAGTTTAGTCCCCTTACTATCTTTCAACCAAGTATGTTTTTCAACAATAATTATGCCAGTTACTTTTTGGATAGCTGCAAATGATGGACTCTGGCTTAACGCTTTAAAGCCCTCTTTCAATTCTTTTCATGACCAATGACTTTTTGAGTGATTTTTCCCTTTTAAGTTAAAATGACCACCCACAAAAACCAATACAGACGTCCATTTTCAAATGTTTCATCAACCCAATTGCACAATAAAAAGACATTCCGGTCCAACTTCATCAAAAATATTCTCAGAAATGTAATCGCACTTGGATCTAATTGCTTGCTACAATCCCTCAGTGCAATGCCTACAAAACTACCAGTAATAGTGATGGCATACAAACGGTGGTCGAGTAACAGTTAAACAAACCATATATGCCAGCGCGTGCGCAATATCCTCATGTGTATGGTCAAGGGCATCGGGGAAATCAATTCGTTAGTGTATACCGTCATTCACGGCCAGTAGGAGAATCGTTACGAGCTTCAAGATACAAAACAAGCAATTTGTTTCATACGTCCAAAATGAGGGTGAGGTGGGGGAGTATATCTTTGTCGTTAACGGGCGTACGAGTTAAAAAAAATCATCAAGAGGAAGCATCATCGAATTCGTTCAAGAGCACAAACGTAACATATTAAAGATTCATCAGCATAAAAAAACAAGGGACACACCATCTGACCCGGAATGTCGGTACACCGAAGTAGTTCAGTGAATGTCCTTCTTGAAAACAAACTGTTGCCTTGGCATAATGCCTTGGCAAAATGTTCATATTTTGCGTTTTATCCTTCATTTGGTGACGTTCCACTTTAATTCTCTGCAACGATTACGGATTGATGTTACGTCGATGTACGTCGTGCTTTTTTTATTTCCTGTCTATGCATGTCTCCCCTGCAGGCTCAATCAAACTAGCTTGTGTTTATCGACCTGGTACCCCCATTGAACGGATGAGGCTATTAGCAACGGTCCATTGCATGCCCCGGGTTTGTTTGCATTTGGTCATCAGTTTTTCAGTTTTCCTGGCAACAGCACGATTGCCTAGGTAACAAGGCGTATGCTTGTTGTACGTCTACTTAGATCGACTTCGTCCAATCAGAAACCGAGGAGACGCTGCTCAAAATAATAACAAACCAGCGAATTAGGGCATGCACGTCACAATCACATATATGCATCGGGCTACGTCAGGGATACGTCGGCCCACGGTATGCAAGCTCTGACTATTTTACAGGTTACGATCTGCCAGGCGAACGACACTTCATATGTTATGGTTTACGGAAGCATTGCCCTTCTACATTCCAGTCGGATTTGCATCAGACATCATTTAAATGTGCCTTCTAGTGGAGCACATGTTCTGCTGATGTTTTGCTGCATCCTGATCAATACGTCTTTGGCTCAAGATCGCAGCTACATGTGTATGTTTTGATAATCAAGGCTAAAATACTATGTTGACAAAATGATTTAGTGCTGGCTCCTTCAAGAGACAAACGTTCCAACTAGATCATCATAAATCAACTACTGTATAAAGCTTTCAGACGACGGAGATCCAATGGCAACAGAAAACGTTGGTATGAAACTGTTCCCTATTTTATTTCTAACATTTCTGACAGCTGTCATTGCTGGGTTTCAATGTAGTAACTCATTCGGCCCTCAGCAATATGCGTTTTATGCCGCAGAAAATCGCGCACTGGAACGCTTTGCATATGCAAACAAATCTGTGCGATCTCGCGTCATCTGCGGACGGGAATGCAGCATGGATGACCGCTGCAAGTCGTTCAACTACAACGACTGCAACAACAAGTGCGAGTTGAACCTTGCCACAAGACGAGAGCATCCCGAAGACTTCAATGCAACTCAAGGGAGTGTGTACTTTGATGCAGATGAGGACACACCTCTCTACTCATTGGCTGATAACTCATTGTACTACCAAAGTTGCAAAAGGCTCTTAGATGCCAGTTATCGTTCAAGCGGTATCTACACAATCTTCCCAGAGGGATTGGGCAATTGCGGTCTTCGCGTCTACTGTGACATGGAAACTGACGGCGGAGGATGGATCGTGTTTCAGAGGCGACAAGATGGCAGCGTGGACTTCTGGCGTAACTGGGACGAGTACCAGTCTGGCTTTGGCGATCTGTCCGGTGAGTTCTGGTTGGGCAACGACAACTTGGTGACTCTGACGTCTGATGATTCACAAGGAACATGGGAGCTGCGAGTTGATTTAGGGGACTGGGAGGACAACACAGTTTGGGCAAAGTACTCCGATTTCAAACTATCTCCTGGCGAGTACCGTCTAAATTATGACTTTTACGATATGAACAGCACCGCTGGCGACTCTCTTGCCTACAGCAAGGGTCTGGCTTTTACAACAAAGGATAAAGACAACGATAACTGGCCGTGGAACTGTGCAGATTACCACAGAGGAGCCTGGTGGTTTGAAGGAGAGCGTGCTACAAACTGTATGATGTCTCACTTAAATGGTATCTATTACCCAGATCAACAAAAACCGGGTGTTGACTGGGGAGTCCATTGGTTTCATTGGAAACTTAGAGATTACTCCTTGAAAACTTGCAGCATGAAAATACGTGAAGCATAGCTGTACAAAGTCTTGAGACATTGATAATCGGAATACGCAAATCAGGCTTAGTTCATTTTTTCCCAACCATATTTTGTCTGAATAAAAGTATCCAAAAAAAAAATGTTCAGAAACATTTGAAAAATAGAACTGTAATCCGTGTTTCGTTCCTTCGAACATTAAATTTTGTCTGAGTTACATAATTTTTTCAAATTTGAGGAATGTTTTAACATAATTGAACTTGTTTGGCAAGTTCTGTATCATAAAGGGCCCCGAATGTGCATGTGCTTACTTATCCTTACAATACTACACATGAACATTCATGTTTGTATAGACAGCACAACACTGTTTTTTATAGCTCTTAAGTTGAATGAAATAAAACTTGTGCGTTTGATGTTAGATGATTTGAAAGCGCTTTGCGTTCCGATATGGAAGCATCCAGCTATCAAATTACTCAATTTTGTGGTCATATCATATTTTGTAGTTGTAAATTGAAAGCTTATAACGTTCCATATAACCATAGAATATGGAAGTGCCCTTCAATATATTCGATGTGTTTGTTCTCCTAACGAAGTTTCAATTTCTATGTTTTATACGGATCTCATATAATTCGAAATTTTATAAGTAACTATTTCATAACTAAACGTGGGGGATATTTTTTTCTTGATGTCTCATTCCAAAGTGGCTAATGTTTGTATTGCTAGAAAAATGAAAAAAAAACAATTTAAAAACAAAATCTTTTTTTTTTGTCGGGGTTAAAGTCGAAAATAGCACTGAGAGATCAACTAAAAGAAGATACTTTCTATTTGTTGGGGACGAAGGAAAAACCTTGAAATAGTTGTATCTTATCATGTGAAGTTGTAACGTGGTTTAAACATTATTATAGACACATATATTTCTGCTTAGTATTCACTTCAGTTGTGTAGAATAAAACAAAGCTTCTGAGCGTAAGGAGCAGAAAATACCGAAATTTGCCAAGCACTGTAAATATCTGCTTAACAATAACAGGCTTCCGGCCAAAATTCTAAATGTATATATTGAGTCTGTAATGCTGTGCCGAAAATCCTAGCCATAATTAAACTGTTGGTGTTAGCAGGCATATTTGTGATGGTCGTTTGCGAATGTAAAGACATCGTGACTGACGAAGGATAATGATAGAACGATTCATTGTCATAGTTCTTGTACAAATTTGACAAAAGAGACATCAAAGAATATCACCACAGTGCTCTTTAAAAATCAATCAATTAACAATTCCAATTTTATTTGATTTTCAGCAGTAACACAATACGCAATGCCAATCACTTAAGATTCTGTTGTGCAAAACTCGATTTCTTTCAAATCTCTTCATATTCCGTTCAAACTAATTTACATCAGTCCTTTTACTCGTAAAAGCCCATTACATGATTTTCAAAAGGGCTAGGTTTAGCCTACTTCGTTAATGATCTAAGGTTCGTGTTTTACCTTGAATTGTATTAAAACCGTGTCCTTGTACAAACGTGGAGCGAATTTCAGCAGATCTAAAAACAGCTTTGGTCAGTCTGGGGATCGCGGGTATTATACCAGTCGCAATTAAATTAGGCTTCTCACAAAATAGCGTTTTGGGTGGGAAACCACCTATTTTACTGGCTCCTAGATGGAACAGTGGAGCACTATAATATAATGAATTAGACAGTTGATCATGCGGAGACTTGTCAGCAAGTGTCTGTTTCAGGTTTTGGCTCCAATGAAACAATATTAACGCCGCTGATTTAGGACAAAACTAGTGAAAACAATGACTGATGCTTTAGCGTCAAATGCAACCAGTGAGGTTCTGGAAGGCACATGGGCATCAAAGAACCATTTAGATGTGACTGCGTCCATGATGCGTCTGGTCCTGACCATCATAATGGTTGAATAGCTTGTGCAGTTCAAGCTCGGTGATACATGGTGATCTTGAGGTCGCAGGCTCAGATCTTGTTCAGTTCCGTTTTTTGAGGTCGCAGGCTCAGATCTAGTTCAGTTCCGTTTTTTTGAGGTCGCAGGCTCAGATCTTGTTCAATTCCAGGCTTTTTTTTTTAGGTCGCAGGCTTAAATCTTGTGCAGTTCCGTTTTGAGGTCGCAGGCTCAAATCTTGTAAAGTTCCGGGTTTTTTAGGTCGCAGGCTCAGATCTTGTTCAGTTCCGTTTTTTGAGGTCGCAGGCTCAGATCTTGTTCAGTTCCGTTTTTTTGAGGTCGCAGGCTCAGATCTTGTTCAGTTCCGGTTTTTTTAGGTTGCAGGCTCAGATCTTGTTCAGTTCCATTTTTTGAGGTCACAGACTCAGATCTTGTTCAGTTCCGGTTTTTTTCAGGTCGCCGACTCAGATCTTGTTCAGTTCAGTTTTTTGAGGTCGCAGGCTCAGATCTTGTTCAGTTCCGTTTTTTGAGGTCGCAGGCTCAGATCTTGTTCAGTTCCGTTGTTTTAAGGTTGCAGGCTCAGATCTTGTTCAGTTTTGTTATTTTAGGTCGCTGCCTCAGATCTTGTGCAGTTCCGGGTTTTTTTTTAGGTCGCAGGCTCAGATCTTGTTCAGTTCCGTTTTTTGAGGTCGCAGGCTCAGATCTTGTTCAGTTCCGTTTTTTGAGGTCGCAGGCTCTGATCTTGTTCAGTTCGGTTTTTTTAGGTCGCAGGTTCTGATCTTGTTCAGTTCCGGGTTTTTAGTTTTTTTTAGGTCGCAGGCTCAGATCATGTTCAGTTCCGTTATTTTAGGCCGCAGGCTCAGATCTTGTGCAGTTCCGGGTTTGTTTTAGGTCGCAGGCTCAGATCTTGTTCAGTTCCGGGTTTTTTTGGTCGCAGGCTCAGATCTTGTCCAGTTCCGTTTTTTGAGGTCGTAGGCTCAAGTCTTGTTCAGTTCCGGTTTTTTTTAACCTTGCATGGGCTTGTTTGTCTATCTGAGCAAAGAAAGGAACTGTTGTTTTGGAACTGTCAATTAGAAATTCATCTGTAGGAACATTTATCGAAATATTTTATTTTGTCGAATTTGCAGAATGTTTTAACATTATGCATTATTTTTGGGACAATTTATTTTGGGGCCCATACATTTCGATTTTTTTAAGGTAAATAAATTCAGTAACTAAACGTGGGTCGAGTTTTTTATTTCTCATTCAAAAATTTCGTATTGCTACAAAAGTAAAAGCAATTTAAAAGCAATCTTAAAGGGAAAATACAACATTTGCAAACATCAAAAAATAAAAATACCAAATCATTTTGAAATACCTTGCTGGACTGTTAGTGAATGACAGTGTAAAGCATCCTGTAAAATCATGGCACCTGGTATACTGTCATTTTCAAGAAAAGTGGTATTTTTGTATCAATTTCCAACGCTGATCGGCCGATCAGCGTTGGAAACAACTGGCTTTTTTTCAAATACTGGCCCCAATTGACCATCGCACTTGTTTGCAATCGATTACAAACCTATGAATGGGTACGAGCCAGCTAGACTGGTTCCCTGACCTTACAATTCCCCAATGTATGTAAACTGCTCTGTTTCTTCTTATATGGAGTCAGGGAACCAGACTACAGGAAACTGATCGTTTTTCTTGGTTTTTATAGCATTTTCGAACCCAAAACCTCAAAAAAGTCTGTGTAACTATATTTGCTATATATTTCCAACCCCCCAATTCCATCCATTTCTGAAAATTACAGCAAAAGCAAATGATGTATATTCCCTTTAAAGCAATATTTTTCGCGGTTAAAGTCGAAAATAGCACCAGCAGAGCATCTTAGATCTAGAGATACTAGCTTTTATTAATATTTGTTGAGGAAGGAGGGAGAAACTATGAATAGTTGTACTTAAGTGTGCGTTTATGAGAAGACCATGCAAAATCTTGAAAAATCGACAAGGTGGGGGGTCGGCGAATTAAGTTCAAATCTTAGCCATTTGATCCCCACCTGAGACGATACCACTCGGTGGAGTAGCTCGATAAATAATCACACGATGGCCGAGTACGGGGCACCAACAATTTTGAGCAAAAAAGGGTGACTTCCGGGGAGTAGAGGAACTTAGAGGAAATATAGTTCAGATATCCGACTACAATAATAAAAAATAAAACAACTGTCAGCTCTTCCTGTTTTTGTTTGCTCACGGTCAACAAAGTCGAAAAATTCCTATTTTTCAAGACCAAACCTACATAGCCCCCTAGACAGTTCCGAGTGCAATTGGTTGCCCTTAATTGACATTTTGCAGGAATTGTTGTTAGAAAGAGCGTAACAAAATCTACATTTTGCAGACTTCACCTATTGGGTGGGTGGGTGAGTGGGCTACCTTTGGTGGTGCGCACTGATCCGGTAGGAGGGGAACGTCCTGTTGCCGCCCACCCAGTTAGCGCGCGGTATCGAAAGAGGGCGCCCTCGCATCACATCACCGTCAAAATGGCTGCCATGGACATGCCGTCTGTGATTTTAGTAATTTTGAGTATTGCAAAGCCATCACATGTGGTGTAAATCCCTCTTATCCGCGCGAACTAAATACAGTGCAACTTAATCGATTCACAAAAAACATACGGAGCCATTTGCAGAAGTGGAAAGTCGCTGCATATGATGTGAATGTCGAGTGCATGGAAACTGATCCTCCTGCGATGTGGTTTGTTCGACGTCGATGCATACACTGATAAGACAATACGTCCAGCGCATAGATACAAGTTAGGGTTGAGTTGGACATCATCAAGGAAATGTTGTCATCTACTCCATAAAGTGAAAGGCAAACCATTCCGTGGTGGGAATAAAGCAACTAGCCGTGAGATGTTTGATCGATGGGGTATCCTGATCATAGTTGGAACAGGCATGACAGGTAAGACTAAGAAGACAGAAATCAAACAAAAACACATTTCTGAAATGAATCAATCATGGTCATGGTCCATTTCTGATCAACTGATTTTGTTTCTGGGAAGGTTATATCAATTAAATCCCTTATCATGCAGTTGACTTGGGACATCACCAGTGAAATGTATTATTGTGTGAAAAATTAATACTGGTTGTCACAGCTCTGGACCACACACATGGTTTTCGG